GATTGAGGCGGGACCAAAGAGCCAGAGCTCAACCCCCACAAGCACAACTAGGTGAGTACACACACACACAACACACACACACACACACACACACACACACACACACACACACACACACACACACACACACACACACACAGATGTGTCTGTGTATGAACGAAGGAATCTTTCAGGACCCTGTATACCACTTATGTCAGACCAATCCTGGAATAAGCAGCTACAGCCTGGAGTCCATACCTAGTTAAACACAAGACAAAGTTAGAGAAGATTCAGCGGTATGCCACCAGGCTCGTCCGGAAACTGAGAGGTATGAGCTACGAGGAAAGGCTAAAGGAGCTGAACCTCACGTCCCTGGAAAACAGAAGAGTAAGGAGAGACATGATAACAATCTACAAAATTCTCAGGGGAATTGACAGGGTGGACAAAGACAAACTTTTCAGAAATGCCTACCTGTGACGACGAGAGAAAGAGACCTGGGCGTGAACGTAACACCTAATCTAACTCCTGAGGCACATATAAATAGGATATCGACAGCAGCGTACTCTACTCTGGCAAAAGTCATAACATCATTCAGAAACCTAAGTAAGGAGGCATTTAGGGCGCTTTACACTGCCTACGTGAGGCCAGTCTTAGAGTATGCCGCCCCATCATGGAGTCCCTACCTGAAGAAACACATAAGGAAACTGGAAAAGGTTCAGAAGTTTGCAACGAGACTCGTCCCAGCATTACGAGGGATGGGATATGAAGAGCCCCTGAAGGAACTGAGCCTTACGACACTAGAAAAAGAAGGTGGAGGGGAGATATGATAGGAACGTATAAAATACTCAGGGGGATTGACAAAGTGGACATAGACTAAATATTCAGACGGAATAGTAACAGAACGAGGGGACATGGGTGGAAGCTGGAAACTCAGATGAGTCACAGAGATGTTAGGAAGCTTTCTTTTAGCGTGAGAGTAGTGGAAAAATGGAATGCACTTGGGGAACAGGTTGTGGAAGCAAATTCTATTCATAATTTTAAAACCAGGTATGATAGGGAAATGAGACCGGAGTCATTGCTGTAAACAACCGATGACTGGAAAGGCGGGATCCAAGAGTCAGTGCTCGATCCTGCAGACACAATAGGTTAGTACAAATAGGTGAGTACACACACATTAATACCAAATAAACACATACCAAAACATTGCTTAATTTTTTTAATTTGTAAATTTCTTGACATATCACTTTTACTAAAACACACACAAACAAACACACGCGAGCGATAATACACCACAACCGCTTCAGAAAGGTGTAACAAAAAAGTGTGTTTGTTTGAGTGTGAATGTTCGGCTCGTTTTGAACGATTGAAAACTGACCGAGTCCCTCCTTTTGTTGCACAGTTCGAATTTGATCTTTCCAAGTACCGCAATGACCACTGGCGCTCTGTGTTTGATCTTTGAACTTTGTGCAAATATTGTATTGTTGTGTAAAGTCTTTTCAGATACTTTAGGCCCATGTGGGATGAAAATAACAGGTGAACACATGACCACATAGACAAGGACACGTGGGAACATGACCAGACACACAAGGACACATAGGAACATGACCACACACACAAGGACACATAGGAACATGACCACACACACAAGGACACATAGGAACATGACCACACACACAGGGACACATAGGAACATGACCACACACACAAGGACACATAGGAACATGACCACACACACAAGGACACATAAGAACATGACCACACACACAAGGACACATATAATCATGACCACACACACAAGGACACATAGGAACATGATCACACACACAATAACACATATAATCATGACCACACACACAAGGACACATAGGAACATGACCACACACACAATAACACATATAATCATGACCACACACACAAGAACACATAGAAACATGACCAGACACACAAGGACACGTGGGAACATGACTAGACACACAAGAACACATAGAAACATGACCACACACACAAGAACACATAGATGGGTTACATTATCTAACTTAATTCTAATTAAATTCTCACACTGGGAACTGTATTGTGTTCACTTTGGTCATTCCTGCTAGTATCGTATACGTCGTTGTTATGTCCTACGTGACTATACTTTCTAAAAGAACTGTTATATCGAATTCTCTTAACTTAATTCTGATATTGGCCTGGTTGCAAACTTTCGTACTTTTGAAAGTTTCTTTTTTGTGAGTCAAAATGTGTGAATTTCATGCTGGCGCTGCATACTTCAGTACTGGTCTGACGTTTCCTACATAAACTGTCTTCAGCTAATTGTGTTATTTTAAACGACGTTTTCCTGGTGGGCAGCATCTCATATGCTGCTGATGTTATCCAGTCTGTGTGCTTATGGTGTTAGTGAAGAAATTTGTATCTAAGAGAAGTGTTTTCTCTTTGTAAAGAGAAAACCCAGTGCTTTTCCGTGCGTGTTTTTCCCCTTAATGTGAGAGCTCTTGTAGGCTCTGGGTTGGTTAGGATAAGGGCACTTTAGTACGACAATTTTTTGACGTTGGGGGACCCTGGGGAGGACGGGCTGTAGGTGTGTTAGTTGCACGTATTTGGACGCTCTCTGATTGGTGAGTATTCACCTAGTTGTTTTTCGCTTAATTGTGCTTGCGGGAGTTAAGCTCTGCTCTTTCGGTCCTCCTCTCAACTACTGTCACTCAATCAACGGTTTCTAACTACTAGCTATTTTTTTCCTACACAAACACACACACACACACACACACACACACACACACACACACACACACACACACACACACACACACACACACACACACACACACACACACAAGGGGCACACGCACTAGGGAACACAGGTGGAAACTGAGTGCCCAAATGAGCCACAGAGATATTAGAAAGAGCTTTTTTAGTGTCAAAGTGGTTGACAAATTGAATGCATTAGGAAGTTATGTGGTGGAGGCTGAGTCCATACACAGTTTCAAGTGTAGATATGATAGAGCCCAATAGGCTCAGGTACCTGTACACTTGTTGATTGACGGTTGAGAGGCGGGACCAAAGAGCCAGAGCTCAACACCCGCAAGCACAATTAGGTGAGTACACACACACACACACACACACACACACACACACACACACACACACACACACACACACACACACACACACACACACACACACACATACACACACACGGGAAGCAGCCCGTAACAGCTGTCTAACTCCCACGTACCTATTTTCTGCTAGGTAACAAGAGCATCAGGGTGAAGGAAACTCTGCCCATTGTTTCTCGTCGGCGCCGGGAATCGAACCCCGGACCACAGGATTACGTATCCAGCGTGCTTTCCACTCAGCCACCGGCCCCCTCAGAGTGTGAGGTCTGAGTATGTGTGTTGATTCTTACCTACGTGTGTCTAAGGTTTGGGAGATGTGAAGTTACTTACCAAGAGGTTGAGTAACGGGGAGGAAGCCGGATAAGTGGTTCGAATTTTTTATTTATTAATATATTAGGTACATGTGCATTTGTTTCGCTGCCCTAGACTATATGAAGGGGAGTACAGTGTGTGTCAAATAGCTAGCTACGTTGTACTAAAAAATCCCCATCTCGCAGGATGGTTAGTCATACAGCACTGGCAGACTCTGGGTGCATTATGAGGATATCATCAACACAAGAGTGAATAAGGCAGCAGTGGTAATAAAAGTCCCTATCTCGCAGAATGGTTAGTCATACAGGGCCATATGTTTAGTAGCCGGCACTGGCAAATTTTGGGTACACTGTGAGGATATCTTCAAGAATACGAGAGTGAATAAAGTAATTGCAAAGCTCCAGGTACCTCATGCCAACTGGTCTGAAAGGTCTAATAACTGGGCATTCAGTGATGTAGTGTGGGAGATCGTGCCGTAGTTCCTGCTCACAGAGTTTGCAACTGGAGTGCTCAGGATTGGAAGCTTCGTCACCTGTAGCCACCTGCCAAAGGTAACGGTAACCCAACCAGCTTTTTATACTGAAGATTAACTCTAGGGGCTCGCAGCTCCACGTTTGGGTATCTGGTACATCCCACTCTCAGGTCAGCCCGTTCTTTTGATCTGCCACTGTGTCAACATTCAACCTTTCAACCTAACCACAAACCTGCGAACCCCCCTCCTCCCCCCCCTTGTTCTCTTGAG